TCCCTCCAGTAGACAGGGAGAACCTCAGACGCTCCTTCCGTGAGTTTTTCTCGGGGTGCCCATTCTTCTTGCCCCCAGAGCCTCCAAAAAGCTCAGAGTACCGGTACCGCTGCTGATTACCGTGAAACTGGGATAAGAAGGACAGGTAAATGAGCTGCAGGAGCGCCACTATCAGCAGAGCACTCAGCACCACTTTGAAAACCGAGCATTTCTTGGACAGATGCATTCCAGAGAAACTGCAAACTGGACAACTAGTGTGCACAAAGCAGCTCCAAACACCGGAGCAAGCAGCTGTTTCCTTGAGCTATTTCTGTCCTAGCATTACCCACATTGCTATCACAATGCTAACAGTGCAACCTATCAGGGTGGAAATACAACAAATACTTGCACATTCTGCTGGTTACTGGCATAGCTGCTCCAGATATTCATGCAGCTCTCGATAGCACGAAAACAAAACGACGGATCTAATCCTGTCTGCGTGATCTTCGTGCAAAATAATTGTTGCAACCATTCTGCTTTGATGCGCAGCGGCGCATGTAGATACGTAATAACCGTAATGTCGGGAGTAAAGGCGCAACAGAATGTGATCTTTTAGCATATTATAGCATATGGCCCGCTAGCTAGCTGTTTAATGTAGGATGAAAGAGGTAATGCCACTATTTCGTTAGTCTTTGTGAAAGCGTACTGTAACAAAGATGAATAATGAATGTGTTTTCCATGATTTGTATCGTCTATAAAATTGTCTGCGCATGTATTCGTAGATCCACAGACGAGGTGGCCGAGTGGTTAAGGCGATGGACTGCTAATCCATTGTGCTCTGCACGCGTGGGTTCGAATCCCATCCTCGTCGATATCTATTTTCATTTTTTACTGTTTATGTCATTTGCTCATATTGTCATTATGTTTGGCATAATAATCACATGTGAGAGCATTGCTACACGGTTCTCTCTTTTTATATTTATTTACTCTTGCACTATATCCTATTAGCTTCATACATATACACACTGAGTATCATTATTTATCATATCTTATATTAAAGTTTACACTGTTAACGTTGTTAATAACAGCACTGGATTTATTTTCTTTTTTAGCGCCACACAATTGTTTTGGTCTCCAAACGTTCTATTCTCATTCAGTTTATGTATGTCATGTCTTTCTTTTCATTCTTTAAATTGTTTAACTTGATTGTGTTACTTACTGGTAAGCTTCTATACTTTTTTTAAATGTATTTATTTCCTTGTACTGCATCAACAATTCAAATTCCCTGCTGGGTATCAATAAACGTCTATCTTAGCATAGATAGATATGTCGAATAATATAATATTACATTTCTATTCATCTTCAATATATTGAGGGGCAAACATAGAGGTGATAGTCATTTTGTTTGATGTTCTTTTTGAAAAAACTCTTACCTTAATCTCCAACAAAACCAGGAATGTGAATTGTGTTCATTTTAATCCAGGTCGCAACAGTTACAGCTGTGATGTTAAATTGTAAACATCTGATTACGTGTAAGGGCTTTGTGGCACACAGTAACAATTATGTAAGACAACACACAGAAAGAACATTTGTGAAACATTTTTAATGAACATTAACAAAAACATTTTTGTCCTCACGACTACATGAACAGTGCTGACAGCAAAAACATCAGGTCCGAGGCGACATTTCCTCATTTTAGACAGAGTTCAGAAATGAATTCAACATAGCTCAAACATGTGCTATAGACCAGACTACAACTTTTGTTGTGTTTTTAATAACGGGGCTTTATCATCAAGGTTGTGGTGGTAGTACTGACTTATGGTCACATCATAATGTCCGCTTTATTAACCTCTGTACAAAAGCTGACCACACATTTATATGAATACAAACCAGCAGCCATTCTGTGCATGGAGAACATTTTACAAGTCATGAATTACAGAGGCTGAAAAAATCTGACGTTCATTTTTGATCTAGTGACATGTTTACGGTATATTATCTTGTTCATGCTCATAATACATGTTGTCAAAATGCCTTCAAGGACCTGAACTGCCTTGGCAAGGGTGACTTCTTGCAAAGCTCAACCTAATTCAGGGCCCTATGAAATCAGCTTTTTTTGTACGTTGTAAGTCGAAAGTCTTAAGTTAACATAAACATTCAGATTTCGTTTTTATCTGTGCACTCCTGTCTTGCATTTTCTAAACATTTGATTTTTTAATTTCTTCTTTGAATTTTTTATTAGGCATCCTTGAAACTGTATATTAATAAGTGGATTACATTTTGCCGTACTCTGATACAATGAAGTATTTATTTGCTCATGCGTAAATGATAGTAAGACGAAAACAAGAACTTACAATTCAATTATTTAATTTAGGCCACAATATTCTAGAAAAAGAAAGTCAGCTTCACTGAAAGGCAGATTTAAGACAAACAACCTACATTTTTATAAGCACTAGCATTCACATGTGTGAGTCGGTGTCTGTTGCAAAGTACCTCAGTACCAAGTGCAGTATCTGAGCAGAAATGTAATCAAAATCAAGTGTGAGAAGATACATTTTAAATTGTGTGACTACAACCATATTTTAGGTACTGGAGAAATCATAAGGCCCTACGGTCGCTCTCAATAATAACAAACTACGACACTAAAACGCCAGCTCCGCTTTTAGACCCGCCGTCTTTGTTGTCACTGGAAGATTCCGCCGACTGGCCCTGTGCCTCCGCTTCACCTTCTCCCACCAACCGGATGTTGTAGCGTTCCCTGTACTCTGTGAGGTCCCGCCCTTTCGTCTGCATCTGCTTGTTGATGGACTCGATTAATTTGGAGATCTGTGGAGATAAAAGAAGAGGACACTTGGGATTAAATGCAGCAATTTAAAATTCATATTCCAACAGTAATGCACTAATATTGTGTCCATAGGCTCGGTAATCCTTACAATACAATGAATAACCACAATGCGTTATAGTTTTTGTTCTGTTTCCATGATTGCTGAAACAATTTGCTGGTGACATACAGTATAAAGATGAATGCATTACCTGTTCTTTGTTAGACTCCAAGGCTGGTAGAACTTCTTTTACCGTCCTCTCCACCAACACTCCTCCTACAAGACGAAAGCATTTCCTCGAAGGATCCACTTCCTTCAGGGTTTCAATTACTAAGCTGGATGGAGGAAAAAAAATGTAGACAAAAAGGGATGTTATTAACAAATAATTGCACCTCAAAGATTCAATAAGCAGATGTGTGAGTATCCTCTACCAACCTGTGCTCATTGATATCCATCTCGAAATCTGCAGATTTAGACGCCATACTGCGCTGCTCCTGACGCATCCTTTGAAATGTTGCCACCACCTGACACAAAAAAAACACCATCAGAAACAATACACTCACTGTCACGGTATTAATCTCAGTTTGAATCAGGTACTGCAGTGATAACACATGTCCTGTATTGATCATCAATCAAACAAGTCAAATGTTTAGCGACTACATTTCTTTTGACTGTTACAACCTAAGAAAAACAGTTTTATTCTAGTCTTCATAGTGTTATATTACTATTTTCTTAATTTGTTATATTTTAACCATTGTTGTTAGCTTGCACTTTTTATGTTAAGTCTCATTCTGCTTTTACTTCAGAAAGATTTACTCAGGATATATTTACTTGTTATTAAAAGCCACAGTGCACACTTTCTTAATCTATACAGTACACTTTTTGTATATTTTACTGTCCTTTCAGTAGATTGGTATATTAGAGAGTATTCAAATGTATTCGCTATATTTTTATAGTGTGTAGATAGGTTTTCAGTCATAAAAATAGCTCCAGTCCTCACACTGACTCTCACTGAGAAACAATATTCAGCACAGCACACAATCCACTTATAAGTGTATGCTTATTCAAATGCAGTTAACGCATTGATATAAGCACACATAAACTCTTTATAAATGTAGGCTCCTTATATGGCTTCACTCTGTTTTTTGTGATGAGAAGGCAGAATGCTGGCGATGGGGAAGCTAATGTTAGCATCGGCTAGTTGGGAGCCACGTTTTCGGCTTTAGCTCCACCGGATTGAACCACAGAAAGACTATCGCGGGTGTACCGACTGAAGCAGACCGGGCTGGAGGGGACGGTACCTGCTCGGCAGACGGGCCGGACGGCTTTCCTCCGGCGCTGGCGCTGGTGGATTTGCTAACCGTGCTGCTACTGTTGGCTGCCATCTTGGAAGGGTGTTGCTGAGAAGGACCCCGAGCAGAATGTATAGGGATGCTTGTTGTGTGCCTGTGCGGAAATATATATGTTTTACTTTGAGTTTTGAGGGCATCTTGTATTCTTAATGTTGCAACACTGCCATCTCCTCGAGATACAGTAGGTCATATTTTACTAATCAGTATACTCTTTACCATTATCTGTTCCTGTTTGCACCAATGTTCTTTTTGTTTTTTTCAGTAATGTCCATTAAAAGGCACAGTATTTCCCTCTGAAAGGTAGTGCAGTATGAAAAAACATCAAATAAACAAAGATTGGACTTAAAACAGATAGATCGCAATTTAAAAAAAAAGATAATCAAAACATCTTTAAATGTCAATTAAACGTCAGCTGTAAAAAGTAATAACAAAAATAGTGAAATTCATAATAGATCAATTATTCAAAATTCAACATGTCAACTGACCAAGTGGAAAACTCTCTGGTGTCAAGATAAACAGAATATATATTAAGATAAGTGCAGGATTCATGTTTCTACGTTATCTACAAATCGTTTGTTCATTTTGGAGATTTTTAATCCATTTTAAATTGGTTAAACTAAGTACACCCAAACCACCAACACTCTACCAACCACAAAGCCTTAAAAACATAAAAAATAAATGTTAATTGTTCAAGATAATCATCTCAATATGTATTGTTTTAAAAAATCTATTAAAATATAAAATGTAATCAATCCTCTACACCAGTGTTGTTGCAAATGCAGTCCAGCAGCTGGAGCCAGTGTGCCTTCATGCTGGTTTCTATCCTTTCGAAATAAGGAAGAAGAAGAAAGTAGCCCTGCTAATCCTTCCTGCTATACACTAACCACACTGGACGTATTAATGTGCTACAACTTGGACTAAACAGGGGAGGTGAAGCTCTGTCAGCGTCACTGGGACCAATGTTCACGGTCAGGTGCATTTTGGGAACATCGGCAAAGTATTTGACCTCTCTCCCAGCTCAGAGACAACAGATAAAGCTCCAAAACAGGTGAGTTTATTATTCTGAGAATGTATTGTTATGCGTCTCTCTAAACAAGGTTATTATGATAAAGACTACATTCGTATTGTGTTATGTAAATCTATGTGACCGGCAGAAAGAGCATCAATACATTTTATAGTTATTGATCCAGATATTGCATTTAAAGGTCCCACTATCCTAATAAGTATAGGAGACACAATAACTAGTGCAGTTAATGATCAAACATAACGTATTTGCCAGTCATGCTGCTTTTGTGCACATAATAACCACCTCTTCTCCCTGCAGGATGTCGACCTTACTTCGCCCGGTGGCTGCAGTGTGTCAGGTGACAGCCACCCCGGATAAAAAGGCTAACTTCTCCGCCTGTAAACAGCTGGTGGAGGAGGCCAAGGGGCGAGGGGCCAGCATGGTCTTCCTGCCCGAGGCCTTCGATTACATCGGATCCAGCCGAGAGGAGACGCTGTCGCTGTCTGAGAGCCTGACAGGAGACACAATCTCACAATATTCTCAGCTGGCCAGGTACACACACTGCTTTGTAATCATTGACATAGGTCCAATGTTTTGTTGTTGTTTGGGGCAGAAAAGTTTCTTCAGTCAGATATTTTTCAATAAGCGGCTGGCTGAGAGCAGGATACACTACTCTTACACATGTATATAATCTTGCATAGATTTAAGCTCCTTCCAAGCAAATGAGGTACACAAAAAGGTGTTTTACTTCCTGCTTCTTGCCTTACTAATCTACTGTTGGCTTCACGAATGAATAAAAAGATAGAGACTTTATGTCCCGTAGTATTTGGAGTAGGGAAACGGTGAGGTTCAGTATGTTTATTTTAACATAGTGTAAATATGTATTCTATAGCCTAGTAAATATGTTGGTTATGTGTATCCATCAGCAGGCAGGTACTTCAAGATTTGAAAAATAAGCACTTTTTCAGGATTTCTTTATGTATTTTAACCACTCCTTTTTCAGGAAGTTGGAAGTGTGGCTGTCTCTTGGAGGATTTCATGAACGAGGACATAACTGGGAGTCTGACAGACGAATCTACAACAGTCACATCATAATTAACGATAAAGGTACTGTCCATTGAACAAGCTCTCTTTAAAATCCCACTCAGTTGCACACAGAAAAATTAATTATTCCTTATGGTACACATTCTGACACGTTGTCATTGCACCCACAGGTGAAATAATTTCAGTCTACAGGAAGTCCCATTTATTTGATGTGGAGCTGCCAGAAAAAGGCGTATCACTTAAAGAAAGTGCCTTCACCATCCCTGGACCCACCCTCGTGTCTCCAGTCCAAACTCCCATCGGCAAGGTGTCCTTTATAACCTTCAGTACACCTGTAAATGCATAGGAAATCTTCATATTAGGAAATATAAGTACATTTTTCCAGCTCTGTAATCTTAATATTAAACGCTGGCCATTTAATATTTGAGATGTTTCCAAAAGAGTGACAAGTAATGAAACCACCCAAGGCTTAAACAGTCTGTTTGTAGTGTGTATAATACAGCTAATGACTTTTAAAACATTGAAAACAGAAAAACTATCTATAGTTAAACATTATGATCAGCTTGTTCTTAGTCTTGGTTTTTAACTATTCTCTTTTTGTTGCCCCAGGTTGGCCTGGGCATCTGCTATGATCTGAGGTTCCCAGAGTTATCACTGGCTCTGCAAAGGCAAGGCGCTGATATTCTTACTTACCCATCAGCCTTCACTGTAGCCACAGGAGCTGCTCACTGGGAGGTGGGATAAGTCACAATACAACTACATGTGTTGGATTACTTGTGCTTGCAAAGACAGGATATCTATTAGATTGAAACCCAAGCAAAACACAAACTTGATGTATTTGTTTCCAGGTGTTACTCCGTGCACGGGCGATAGAGACTCAGTGTTTCGTCCTGGCGGCGGCGCAGGTCGGCCGGCACCATGAGAAGCGCTCGTCGTACGGCCACGCCCTCGCCGTGGACCCCTGGGGTGAGGTGCTGGGAGACTGTGGAGGGGAGAAGCCAGGCATGGTGCTGGTGGAGATCGACCTGGAGAAGGTCAGCAGCACCAGGAGGAACATGCCGGTCCAACAGCACCGAAGAAACACTGATTTTTATCAAAGTCTGGAGAAGAGTTGACTACAAGAGAAGAGCAAACATCGAACTGACAGGAAATCAGTTTGAATACAGGAAACACACTAATCAGAAAAGTGTCTTTGGTTTTATGTTTCAAAGACTTTCAGGTGGAGAAGGAAACGTCACCTACAGCATCATGAGCACTTTGATTTGAAGTGATTTTTCACGAGGATTAAACGAGAATGTTTTATGTTGTTTAATCAGATATAGCAGGTGGAGATATGTGTTCACTGTGTGAGGAGAGAAGCATATATTGTTCTCAAATCAAGCTTTTACTGATTAAATATCAACAAATGTAAGCATGAAAAAACATATCTTGATGAAATAAATATGTAAAGTTTATTGCAGCTACTGACGCGGTTTAAGGAAATCAGCCATTTAGCTTAACATTTAAGTCATCGTGTCATTACTGCTGTAGTTTATCTAATTTCTATTTGTAGTACTCAACCAAAATCAAAAAGCACTGATCAGACCAAATTAGTCTAAATGCTGTATAATGGTCAATAGATGGCACTGTTGGGTAGTAACACTATCAGAAAAAGGAGGAAATGCCAGTAAAAAAGTGAAAGTTTCCTGAAACACACTGACCTGTGGTTTACAAATCCACTTGTAACTTTCCTGGGTTTCAATTAAATACTGTCGTGCTTAAAGATTATTATAAACCCAACGTCTGAACCTTCGCTTGGTTTGTTTGTCTCTTGTTTATTCACTTTCTTTATTTTGCTTGATGGTAGCACATTATCAACATACCCTACATGTCCATACAAAAAAACAAAACATGTATCTATCCCGGAAGACTTGTTAAAGTGGCTCCTGGTTTTGATGAGAACGACCAATTATCTTATAAATCTTATATAAAGTTGTGTCAAAATCCACATTTTTAAAATTGTATTTAAACTTGTAACCAATCCTGTTTACATAAGAAAAATGCAATACTCTCTCCTTTAAAAAATGTCTTGAATCATTATGGATTCATATATTCACACAGTCAAATTCCTTCATATTTAATAACAAAAAATGCCTTAAAGTAAATGATTGTAACTGCACATTCTAAGTATCCTTATTATGTAATTGTTCTTCAGATTCATTGAGTAGATAGTCTATGAAATATCACATTACTTTGTATTTCAGAGTTTTCTACAGTGTGGTATTGGCCCTTTTACACAAGTCTCTACATGCCTTCTCTGGCAATACATACACAACACCATTTGTCATTTGTATTTACTGCCTCCACTGTGTTTTATCCCGTTTGATTTGCACTGGATGAATTATTGATCACATTCTCTCCTCCCTGCCTGTTCTAACATCACACAGACTGTGGGTGGTTTCTGCTGTAAGGCTGGGAAACAGGAAGTGAACGTCACTGACACAGGAATGGGACTGAAAAAAGAAAACACCATGATGATGAGGAGAATGTAAAATCCACTCGTGTAGCAAACACAAATCCTCGTTTCAACTGCAGGGAAAGAGGATGCATTGTCGAGCTGGAATTGAGGCAACAGGAAGGTAGGTGGCTTTCTGTGTTTATCAGCGGTAATGACGGTATGCTAATTTAAGGAAAGGAGGTCTGTGTGTGTGTTTCACCATCCGAGGCCATCCATCCATACTCATACTGCTGAGTATGGATGTTAGCTCGTTGTGTAGCTTGTGTGAATTATCTGCAAATTCGCTTAATGAATGTATTTTGTGCAGAAAATTACGCTTTCTGTGGTGTAAGGCCCTCGGCTGTTTGCTAAGTGACACTGAAGTTTCACAAGCCATCGACTGCATGAAACCCGTCCCATATGTGCTTTTCCCCGGTTATTTCACCATGAAATGCAGATGTTACGTTAATGCATGCACTGCTTTTGGCTGAGCATTTGCTGAAATCATCCACGCTTTTCCCTCAGTACACCATGTAGCTGAATGTAGCTTGTAATTCAGTGTGAACGCTTCTTTAGAGTGTGAAAAGTTGGGCTTGATAACAAACGCTGTAATTTACAACCGTGAGTTTTAGTCGACTAAATGATTGGTCGATTATGAGGAAACTTATTGCTAGTTAATTGTATTGCACATAATTGTTAAAGTGTCAGAAAATGCTTCTTAAAGTAGCCTCTGAAATATAGAGATTACGTTCTTTCTCTGTTATTTATAATATTTTATACAATATATTTGGATTTTGGACTCGCAAAACAGTTAAAGACATCACTTTGTTATGTGAGAAACTGAAATGCAACTTTAAAAAAAATTAAATTACAATTTCTTGGTTAGTTAAATGTGAGAAAAAAAGAAAATGCTCAAATGCATGTTCCAGAAGCCTACATCATGTCCTATAAAGGCTTATTTAGTCTAATCAAAAGTCCAAACCTGAGAGATTTTCATCTCACAATGATATAAAACAGAGAAAGCAAGGAAACACACATTTTAGGAGCTGGCATCGGCATAATTGTTTGAGTTTTTGCTTGTTGAATAACTTTTACAATTAACTAAAAACATGTATATTAAAGACTATTTGTAACCTTGTTTTTCAGTGGGAATACTTATAGTGACCCTTATCATTATTTACAGTACATCCGCTTTATATTCATTTGATTCCATTTTCCACAGCCCCATTCACTAACTGTACATGTCGACAAGATATACTTGACACCAAAGTAGGGTAATGTTAAACATAAACCTGAGTTAATGTGTTCGCGCTGTTACTTCTTCGCTCCATCCCTTCTAAGGTATTCCATTTATGATTAGCGGACCCTCCTCTCATTGTAGAGTCCTTCTCTTTCCAGCCAGCATCAAAGACTGATCAAACCAAAGGCACTGCTCCACCTTATCTGCTATGGCTGTTGGTTTAATCAGCGCTCCTGATTGCGTTACGCCTGTCTGGAGTGTTGCCGTCATTTCGTTAAACATGACCTTAGAGAGTTACATTCACAGCCAGAGAGTCCAGACATCTCACTTAAGTGTTTACCCCCCCTGCCTCCTAAACAGTTATCCTGTAGTTAATGACTTTTAAGTAGAAAGTCAGATTTCAGACTTTAGCAACTTAATTTTAATCTTATATTTTAAATATCAGACTTAAATTAACATCCTCATAACAAGATTTATTTTTAAAAGTTCTCACAAAATGGTTAGTATCATGCAATTGAAGCACAATGAGATTCCTTAATGAACATCCGGTAATTTTTCACCCCTAAATTAGGTATGTTCACTAGTCTGTTAGATTTTATTCAGACTCCTTATTATTATTCTAGGATGCATCCACTGCTGTCTCCTAAGTGATATAATATGCTCAGACTGGTGGAGGCTGGATCAAATTGATAGCTGAAAATGCCTCATTGATCACACACACACACACAGAGACACACACTCTAAAGGATGTCTTTCGAAGCAGGCCAGAAAGAGCATGTATTATTCATCTTATAGAATTCATTTTGTAAACGTTGGAACTTCCTTTATCTTCAATCCGGCCTGTCGAATGCTTTTTTTCACGCTATTTTTTTACCTTAAGACGTATAATTCAAAGGTATTTAATTGAAATTAGTTGCAGGTTAAAGGTGGGGTAGGTAAGTTTGAGAAACCGGCTCGAGATCGCTAGAATTTGAAAATAGACAACCGGAGAAAATCTGCCACTTCCTTATAGAGCCCCTCCTCCAACACACACGAACGCGCACATGACCAATGAGGGCACGAGATAAGTTTGTGCACAGATGGAAGGCTGACAGGCAGGTAGGCCATCCAGTTATTTTAGCCGGGCCGGCTAAAATGATTGGTCATGCTTTTTACAGTACTACGGCTTCCACAGATGACGTTTTTTTATGGATTTTTTGTCAAAGCATTTAAGATATTCATTGCTATCGGGATGTTAAGAGCATTCCATGGAATATAACACAAAGTGTATCTCGAGCCGGTTTCTCAAACTTACCTACCCTACCTTTAACATAATGCAAACTTAATGATTTGGAAAAAATAAAAGATGATATGTTAATTATGATGTAAATCCACTTAAAGCTGTAAATACAACTTCAACATAATATTTGGTTGTTGTCCTCCGTAGTATTTTCTCGAATTGACCTCGGCAGTTAGCTAGTGCCGCATGTTAAGATAAGATACGATTTACTTTATTGATCCCAACTTGGGGGGAAATTTTTTCGTCAGGACTATGTAAGAAAAGACATAATGTTAGAATGAAATAGAGCAGAAAATGAACAAACAAACATCTCAAAATAGAAACTAAAACAGAACTAAAAAGTAAAATATATTCATTGACAGAGAAAAACGTATATCTGAAGACTATCTGTCAAATTTAAAATATGAAGAAATTAGAGCTAACAAACTTTAGTCCATGCTGCGTGATGGATGTTTAGCTACACAGCAATCCATATATTGATCTCTGGCTGCCGTTTGAAGGATGTGTGTCAACTCATCGTCTCTGGGGGAGGTTTGAGCCGGTCGGTTAGATAGAGGGAGGGAAAACTGCTGAGTCACATCCCAGCAACAGTAGCCTGGGCAACACCTCCATAGTGACCAGCCGGAGGAAGATAACGGCCCTCGCTGCTCACCTAAGTTGTGTAATATCAGCAGACCCTGCAGCGTTTTGTCCCCTTGATTGTGCTGTTGTTATCGACACACACACACACACACACACACACACACACACACACACACACACACCCTCCGCCTTCTCTTTAGATTATCCACGTCCTCAAACGGCAACATGAAATCTGACACGTAGCATAGTAGCCCCCTCAGTAAGCAACACACTGTCGTCTCCCTGGCATGATTACTGTTTTGATCACCGTTACAAAAGAAGAGAGACATGAACAATGTAGTGCAGGCGTAATTATAGCAATCAAATGTCACCACAGAGAGAAACAGAATATCAAATGAAACGTATAAAAGACATGAGGCTCAGCTTGTGATGTTCAGTTCAGTCACAACTGTCTGTTTTAAAAAGGTAATTTCAAGCTATTAACACGTGTTTTATGATCTCACTCTAATTTGTCCTGGTTAGCAATACTGCATGAATTGTCATTCCTTTGGGATCAAACTAAACCACAAGGCTTAGTTTCAATTAGAGATGCCCTGATTCCAATATAATTAAGAAATATAATTGACAGTATACAGATACATCTTTCTTTGTCAAATTAAATCTTATGTTGCTAATAAAACATTGACTATTCAAGTTATTTTCCTCATGCTTTACTCAACTTTGCTCAAACAAACCTCAAAATAAAAGTGCTCCAGATTACAGGTTTAAATAAAATCCAATTGAAAATTAAATCAATGTTATCAACTTGATCTAACATGTTTCACTTTCCCAGGAGAAAACTGTCAGTTTCTGTCCATCCCGCTGTGTGGGACGTTCAAACATAATGCGTATTTGAAAATAGCAGATATGAGACTCATTGTTTAGTTTCCATAAGAGGCCGACCGATCAATGCTTTGCTAGTTTCAATCCATTGTTCTGGGCCAAATTATAACGAGAAGTCAAAGAGCAACAGAAACCGCATCACATGAGCTAAATGATCTAAGCCTCGAGATTGACTCCAGCTGAATTGAATTTCCTGAACACACTGATTCGATAAAGCTCAAATGGAAATCCCGTGTCATGGTGAGTGAGTGTGAGTGTTGGCGCACTCTTTACCTCACATTATACAGTTTGTGCCACAGAGGATTAGTGGTCTTTAGTTTCACTGGTGCTTGCAGAATCCGTTTGTTATAATAGTAGTAATACAAAATGGCACAAGCTATCCTGAACAAAGTGTCTGGATTTAATTGTGATAAGAGAGACTAAAGGAAAGGGTTTGGCGCTAAATGCTCTGAACAGTCAAAGATTGAATTCACTTCTTGTCGAGATACAATTGACCTTCTATTGATTTGGCATTCACTTTCTGTTTCTGTTTTGTACTGTTGTTCACATTGTATTGTATCACATCTTCAACTTTTTAATTTTCTTCACTTTGTGATCATCATGTGACCTTTGCTGTATGTCACATTTCAAAACACCACAGCATGAGAGAAGAATCAAAATGAAATAGAAAGTTGAAGCCATTCAGGTTGCTATGAAGGGAGCTTGGAAATCAATGAGGCCTTTTTTAACAGAGATATAGAGGAATATGGAGTCGTCTTTGGACCGTAAAAAGTAGTGGAAATCAGTCCATCTTCCTCCTGAACTCTCTTCTTCTCCTTTCCTTTATTACATAGTGACCCCTCATGCCTTGAGGCTAATATCCCTATGAATATATTCAGGTTATCTTCTCATTTTCACTCTCATCGCTCTGTTTGGTGAGGATCATTTTAGGTCACATCTGTCCCGTTTGTGCTCACATATCGTGGTGTAGTTTCCCCCTCCTCCACAGGGGGGCGAGGTGACATGCTGTGTGTCTCTGCTGCTCTGCTCTCTTTAGGCCAGCAGTTGTGTTGTCATAATCATCCTCCTATTGTACAGAGGACATCCATGTGTCATTGTAATCCCTCAGTCTATAAATACACAACTTGGCTGTGTAGAGAACAGAACATTTTAAAATCACTGCCAAATATCTCCACATTTTAAGGAAATACAACAAACTTTTTAAAATATAAAACCAAGTCAAATATGTATTTATGTTAAAATATATTCATTGTGGGCTAGCCTAGACATATGTTTACATCTCTAGGTTACACAACTTTGAATTAATGTATTCCAACACTCACATTTTCGTATGGTGGTAATCTCATAGGTGAGGTGATTTTTACGTCAGCTATAAGACTCCATTGAACCTTATCTCTGTTATGCCTGGCCGTCTCTGACAGCCTTCATCTTTATAAATGTCCTGTATCGCCTCCATCTCTTTCCGTCCACATCTCATTCCCTTTTTGTTTGACTTAATCTTCCATCACGGTGCGCTCCAGCAGTTACAGTATTTCAGTCAGACTGTCTCGGATCCCTCAAGGTTATCTGCACCTTAGAAAATGTAGAAAAATCATTCACATGTTTCACTGAAAGATGGAAGAAGGTCCAAATTGCCTGTGAAGTGTATGGAGCCGTTTGTGACTTTGCGGGCACATCTCGTGTATGTTTTGGTTTCCTAGAAAGGACACCTGTTTCCTCATCTTCCTAATACATCCACAGAAATGTGATGTTTAACATAAATCAACAAGGTGATTCTCCGTTTACTCAGAACAAGCTCTAGATACCGGCTGTGTTTGTTTAAGCTATAAAGTGGATTTCTTATCACTAAATGTGTGTGTGACTATAACCTCTCCATCACAGCATCCCCGAGTGTCCATCTGTGATTCTGTCTGCACGTTAACAACCCGCCCTTCTCATCTGTGACCGTCCCACTCCACCTTGTAGACTCAATAATCTTGCATCCTCACAACACGGTGTATCTCCCCCCCCCCTCCCTCCCTCCTTATCACCCAGGGCACCGGCGCGTTGCTAAATGGAGTCGGAGCAGCTGTACCACAGAGGCTACTGCAGGAACAGCTACAACAGCATCGCCAGCGCCAGCAGCGACGAGGAGCTGCTGGATGGAGCCGGCGCCGTCATGGACTTCCACACCACAGAGGACGACAACCTGCTGGATGGGGACGCGGCCTCCCCAGGTAGGGAGAACGGAAATGCCTCCCCTCTCTTGATTCCCCTCCATGACCTCCAGTCTTTGACGAACCCTCACCATCCAATCAGATTCTTGAATTCTTTGCGCTGCGTCTTCGAGTCCAGAATCAAGTATTTGTTCCCCCTCCTGACTAAGCACACAGGTCGCTGCTTTTGTCATGAGTCAGCCCACTGCTGGTGTCGAGACGCATCAAGTGTATGTTCGCTCGTGTGTGTTGCTGGCGCACTCGCTCTGCCATCCGCCCCCCTCATCTCCATGATCCGCACCCATCAGCTGCTCCACATCTCGTCTTGTTTCAACCACCTTCCGCCGTCATTATCCTCCCATTGGGCCTGAAGCAGCCTCACAAATGGTTATAAAACTGTTAATTGATATGCAAATGGATATAGACAGCCGATGCAACTTCTTTGTAATCTAACAAAATTATCAGAGTTTGGTCTTTATTTAGGATATGTAGTTGATTCAGGTGAGTTATACGAGACCCTTAAGTCCCATGATAAAAGTTGATCCCTGAAAAATGTCAAATCAAATCAGACAACTCAAGGTGACACACCAACTTATTTAGACATTTCAAGCAAATCTCATAGTCTTCATGAGCACATTTTTTATGGTTTTGTACTCAATAACTTCTAAGATTTAGTGTCTATCCCAAAATTAATTTAAAAATCAAATGGAGGAGCGACGAATTACAAATGCTAAATGAAAGCATTTGTTTTCCCATTAAGAAAAACCTGATTATTAAGTAGATTATTTCACAATTTCTTAAGGCCCTCACTAACTTTTTTGTATTGGATATACAAATCATTTTGCATATTACTTTACCAGCTAAACATAAATTCATGAATTCCTTTATAACCATTTGTAAGGCTCTCTAAGGACTGCAGTTGTTCTTATTATTTTAAGTCGTTTTCTGTCTGTCTTGTCTTGATGTAGTTTTGTCCAGAACTACATAACTCTAACTGTTTTTGTACCAAACTTGACTTTGCATGGTTTTAGTTGTCTTCTGGCCACCATCTTGATCCGGCCACCTTTTTTTTAATATCCTTGCTTCCTGTTCCCTGCTGTTTGTTTTGTGGTCTTGCTGCCACTTTTTGTGTGCTTTGGCCTTGCTCGTTATTCCTATCTTGCTTTTGACTTGTTGCTTACGTGGATTGGTCTTTCCTGTCGGGTAGTAAAGGTGTGTTTGAGTAATAACACAGACACGTGGCAGGCCTCTATTTGCTTTTTGTGTTCATAAATACGTCATCTCCTGGCTAGATATAGAAAAGGTAAAGCAAGGTGAACAAGTTAAACAGGTGTGAATTTAGCTTGTTTAAAAAGTAGATATACTTCTTCTTTTGTTTGCAAATTTCCAGCAGTGTAGATACAAAGTGCAACTGTATGAGAAATATGCCGGCAATTCCTAACCTTGGAGGCATACAATTCCAAGGTATTAAACTATTTCCGAACCGGTTCTCCATTCACTAAACAAGAGATCTGCTACTGCCTGTGTGGCTGCCAATGCTAAACGATTGTAGTCATGCCTGTCATTCCTGTGCAACCACTCATTCATTCAGAAGCTCAGCTGCACTCTGACCGGTATCTATAGGCGCTTTCACACCGGAGTACTTTTCCCCGTACTTTTTCCTTTTAGTTCCGATAGTTCCTGGGATTTTGCGTTCACACCAAAAAGAGAACTTAGTTTATGAGAACTTTTACCCCCTTTTTAGTGCCTGCTAGAGAGGTGGTACTTTCCTGGGGAGAAAAAAGTTCCAATTTCTGATTGGCTGGGCGAATTGCAAACCACGCCCCGTAAAACTCGGAAAAGTTTTTTGAAGCCGCCATTGTATTTGCTGGCATTAGCATTATTAGCATTAGCATTAGCCCCGCGCACCAACGGAGAGAGAATAACTTATGGCAACACAAAAAAAAACATTTGAGTGGTGGAGTGATGAGGATTTACTCGGAAGGCTTCAGTAGAAGCTGCTGGGAGTCCCAGCAGCTTCTACTGAAGCCAGTCCCCAACTCCGGGGACTTCCGGCCGGGGACTTCGGGTGGCAGTATACGCCGTGAAGTTGTTTGCGGCCTGCCAGTAAACCCAAAGCAGCAGTAGAAGAAGAAGTGACGTCAGCGGCTTCATTTGCGTAATCTTCCCTCAGGGAACTTATTCCGGTGTGAACGCGATCTGCTCTTAGTTCAATGGGGGTACTAAGTGCTGGGAACTAAGTACTTGGGGTGTTTCTCAATGTCGAGTACGCTTGCTTGGTAGCACATGTCTTCCGAGTCACTTGCTTCAGAAGCGAGGCAAGAATACTTCCTGGCATTCGGAAAACAAAGAGTGGAACATGCTAGCAAGTGTGCAGGTGTGCGTCATATCCCGCCTTACATTTTCCGCCACAGATTTGGGGAAATTGGTCCGTGCGCAAAGCATTGTGGGGATTTTAAGACCGCGGAGTCTACACATGTGCAGCCTCGAAATTTCTCCAAACGAAGTACGCCGGGCTCGGTAGAATTCCAAGTATGCTGGACATTGGAACAGTACTTCGGCGGCACTCGATGACGTAGTATACTTGAAATAATGGCTCTGGAGCAGCTTTCCTCGAGATTGAGAAACACCCTCAGTGTGTGAAAGCGGCTATTATCTTGTGACCAATCGACATCCGATCTGCTGCATCCTGTTTTCTCTTCCTCTTCTGACTAAATATGCTGATTCCATCTCTGTAGTTTTGACTTGCAGCTGATCAAACAAGCGCACATGCTGAGTGGGTTGTGTCAGATCTGTCTGCTGAGTTTGGCTCTCCAAAAGCGAACACATTTGCAAATGTTCTGGTTGGATTTTGTGGGAAATCCTTGTGCTCTATGAACACAAAAGAAGCATAGCAAATGTGTTTATGCATGAGATAAAGATCCTAGGTTCTGATAAAACTTTATTTAAAGTTTTTTTTCTGAGAAGCAGGTTATTTCCTGTCTTTTTGAATTGGATATTTTAGATTAACTGCATTCATTTGAGTCAGTTTGAAGACACAACGATAAAGACAAAATCCCACATATGTTTGGTAGGTAGTGGTGATACTGAATGAGACTTGTTGCTTGCAGAGAACAGATGTTTCCCATGCCACATATTTTACTATAATCTGCCATCTCCCTTTTTGGTCTGGTTACAGCTCTTCCTTTCAGTTCTGCACTGATAAGGTTGTAGTAAGACACGTTGTAGATCTCCGTTTCAAGTCATGTTGTACTGTTGCACAAGAAAGTTACAGTTCTGTTAAAGTGAATATCTAATGCTCAGAAGCTTAAAACATGATCATTCTTCTCTTCATGTAAAAGCTCAACATTCAGTTGGAAAGTTGCTATAATCCTCAAAGAAAGGCACATAAAACCATCTATAGTGACACTGTTTCCAAGTATTGACATTTCTTGTTACTTGCAGATCATTTTTTTGGAATAGCTCCATAATAATTCAGATTTTTTTTATTTTGTATCCTATCAATTTACTTACAGAGGTAGTAGGGGTTGTTTTTATGTGCTTTATGGGGATTGGCTTTCATCTAGTGTCCCTAGTCTCTTCCTGGTGATTAGCTTCTCATTCTTCTGCTCTGAAACTGGACCTCTGCGCAGTGGATTATGTGAAAGGTGAAAGCATGGGGTAACCCTAACCTGCCTCCACTTATACGGTCACTGCTGCTGCTAGTACAGAGCGAGCTTCAGTGCAACAACACAGGTTTCTTTCAATAACTGAAGAAGCTACAATCTTAATAGCCAGGTTGTACCGAAGACTAACAATCATTAACTTCCAGTCTTCCTTGTTTTTACATTCTTTGCACCACACTACTGTATTGGCCTTGACTCCACCCCCCCTTGCATCAGAGTTGTGTGACTCCCATACGCTCACCGACATTCCCATGAACCAGTTTGGCTGCCAGCCGGTCCGAGCTAGTGTTTCAGGAAATCTCTGGATGAATGCTCTTCCTTGAAGCTGCTGTGCCTCCCTGAGCTATATATATGTAGTATTGAAGGGGTGGGTGCCTTGGTTAGCTTTGTAAAACCCCCGGGGGCCGTCTCACTCAAAGGTCCTGTGGAGATTTCTGCTGACACTTTTTGTTCTCTTTGAAGAATTGAGGAGTTACATGGAACCACAGCGGGACAGCGCAAAACTCATCCTGCGCACAAACAAACACTCACAACCGAAGTACCATGCTTTGGGGGATGTGTGTAACTGAACTGAAACGGATTTATCTGGTTTTCTTTTCACTGGATTACTGAGATTTCTGTTTTCAAACTTCATGTTTTTGCTCATTTGACATCCTGACTGGGACTTCTTGTTGAGCAGCGAGGTGACACATTATGGTTGACATCACCTTTGTAATCGCCTAGCAACAGGAGCCCTACTTAAAGGTAAGGCAGCGTGGGTGGTTTTATATCATAATGGAAACAAAGTCACAGCGTGTGAAATGCCAGGGTCCTATTGTTGAGGCCTGGGAATTGTTAAACCTGATTTAAGCTGCATTGTTTTATATAATCACACCGAGTTTACAAAACACCTTCTGTGTTGAAATACTGACCGTGAGATCGCTTTTTGATTGTACGAATGTTTCATATCCTTCCTGTAGCGTGAACACAGGAGAGGAAGGTTAAGCAACAGCTGAGTGTCTTAAGATCAACTTTTCTTTTTTCTTGCCGCAGTCACACTTACAGTTTCCTTAACATCCCTTTCCTCTTTGCATACCAAAGGACAGCAGCAGTCAAATGTATGTATACAAAAACAACCTAAAATGACAAGGCAGAATGGCAAAAACACAGATTGACTTACATGAATTTATTTCTCTTTGCACTCACAAAGCGTTCTTTCATTAAAGCTATGAATAGGCCATGTGATTATTTTTTATTGGCATAATACGTTTATTACATTAATGAGTTAGGGCTGTAACTACAGATGACCCATTCCACATTTTTTTATATAAATAATAGCAGAAACACTAAACATGCAAGTATCTGCCCCAATTCCCC